ATAAACTGCACCGGATCTGAATCCTAAAGTGGGAGCTTTGATTTTTCCAATGGTGGTTAAGCCTAGCTGAGTTCCAAATTTAAGTTGGAGGACCTACGTACTCCATCATTTTCTGTGACCATGTTTCTCAACTACTAAATGATATTTTTTAGAAACCTTTTATATATGGAGATTCTTTTAGAAAGCTAAATCTATTTTCAAGTTTACAATAATAACTAATATAAATTAATAAAAGCTAATAACTTCTCTTTTTTTCATGTAAGAAGAATTCAATCCCAACCTCTCTTTCAAAGACTCTGTTCGGAGATAGAGGGTGAAAACTTCACCTTTCTTAACGTAAAACGGAACAATACATCAACACGTGATTAATTAATCATTAGTTAAAATAATCTTGAGAAATATATTGATATGATTTTTTTTAAAAAAACACACGATGACTCTAGCTAGAACTTAAGGCCCCGTTTAGTTCCCCAAAAGTTTTTCCCAAAAACATTAACATCGAATCTTTGGTCACATGCATGAAGCATTAAATATAGATTAAAAGAAAAACTAATTGCACAGTTAGGAAGGAAATCGCGAGACGAATCTTTTAAACCTAATTAGTCCATGATTAGCCATAAGTGCTACAGTAAGCCATATGTGCTAATGACGGATTAATTAGGCTTAAAAGATTCGTCTCGCGGTTTTCAGGTGAGTTATGAAATTAGTTTTTTCATTCGTTTCTAAAAACCTCTTCCAACATCCGGTCATACATTCGATGTGACACACAAAAATTTTCATTTCGCGAACTAAACAGGCCCTTACTACTAGTAGCAGTTAGGACCTGTTTACTTTGATGCCATTTTCAACCAAAAAAGTGGCTACATTTAGTTTGCTGTCAAATTTTGGTAACTATATAAGAAATCCTGCTAAAATTTTGTCAATTATACCAAAATTTTGGTAATATCAAAATTCGATAAGGTTTTTTTTAGCATCAAAGTGAACAGGTCCTTGATAAGTCGTACTAGGTGCCCTGCTTGGTACTGTTTCTGTGGTCACATTGGCACTTTGCAGTAGTCAACAGATACGACCGGTCCTAAAACCTGAGATTTTGTTACCGACCAACGGCGGTGGTACAAACAAATGCGCGTTGCTTCGGTCGGAAGCAAACAGAATTTGATGCGTTTTTAGGCGACAAAATACGTTTTCATGCGTGTTTGTTTCAAGTAAAAATTCAGTAAAGGAAGAAGTTGTTACACCGTACCGTACCGTGTGAGACCGCTTTGACGAAACTTTCGCCGTTCCCCTTCTCTGCCTCAGAAAAGAGAAAGCAAATTAAACAAAAATATCCAAAACCAAAAGGGGAAGCAGCCGTTGACGACTCCGGTTTCAGGGAAACAAAAAAAGAAACGAACACAAAAACTGCAACTTGATATGCGCCGCAAGAGGGATTGATAATTGATTGATTGATTGGCCTGATAATCCAGCTGCCGACCGCCTGAAAGACCTGTTTAATTCTGATTTTCCCTGATTTTTTTAAAAAATTACGTACAAACACAAATTTCACTCACCGCTATATACGCATGCACGCACATCCTACCCTTATAAGCGTCTCCGAAAGACTGAGCTGACATATCTTAAGATTGTCGAAATCACCACAGACGTATTGTTGTCTATGCGCACACTTATTCCTATAATCGATCCCCCATGCACGTACACATTACCTATTACCTCGATGTATACCTTCGAAAGACTGGATCAACATATCTTGAGATTGATGAAGTCATCACATATGGGCGTCTTGTTATTAATGGGTACGTTGTCTATTATTGAAAAAAATAACTATCCATAAATTCGAGCACATGTATCAAGTTTAGGACGTTAAACGTGGATGGACATATTCTACCACAAGTAATCTACCAGTTAAGCTATGCTCACTTCGATGTCTGTTCCTTGATTTATTGGCATGTTTAATTATCTTAATCTTGTAATGGGGGACATGATCTCATGAGAGCAAGTTTAATAGTATAGTCAACTACGGGCTCCAAATCATATATAGCTAATCTAATAGCCTATTCATACAATAGTTAGCTATAAAAATATACTACATCATTAATACCCGGTCCCACCTCTCATACACATATAATGTTTTGGAGTCCGTGTTACAGTTGGTTATAAATCTGTAGCTCGCTTTCTTCTGTCTTCTTTTTTCTTCTTGATATATGGTTATAGCTGGTTTATAGCCTGCTATTGTACCTGCTCTGAGGCTTTGCCAATTTAACTGCATGTATAGCTATGCATAGTTCCTTTGGAGGATCTAGCACTTTTTTGGCATTGCTACATGCTTAGTTACTTTCAAGTCTATAAAGTATTTATTTCCTTAACAATGAAAAGTTTGCATGGTTAGTAAACAACTAACAGCACATGGTTTGCCATGATTCAGACACAACTGTCTTTATATATTATCCAAATGAGAAAAAAATAAACGGAGGAGAGAAACCCAGAAACATAAAGCGTGGAGTACATGGACCAGAATACTACCTCCTTCCCTAAATGTTTGACGCCGTTGACTTTTTTAAACATGTTTGACCGTTCGTCTTATTCAAAAACTTTTGTGAAATATGTAAAACTATATGTATACATAAAAGTATATTTAACAATGAATTAAATGGTAGGAAAAGAATTAATAATTGCTTAAATTTTTTGAATAAGACGAACGGTCAAACATATTTTAAAAAGTCAACGGTGTCAAATATTTAGGGATGGAGGGAGTATAGAATTGAAAGCGTCTCGCCGAGAGATCTCATTGTCAGTTACATCTCATAAATATGCTCCTCAATCCTCATCATCGTTCATACTCGAATCCAACCTAGCTAGACAGATAGACAGAAAGACAGGCAAGCTCATTAGTGTATAGTTTTGGACTGCCGATCATACGCCTTTTCCTTGAGAAAGCAAAAAAAAAGCGTATATTTGTTTTCGATAATGTAGCTAACAAGTGCTGAAATTTCCCACGAACATAGCACGGCACCACCTAGGACGCGATTGAACGAAAATGGATCATCTACAACACCGTACAATACTTCTTACGGTTGGCAATTTTTTTTTCACACACAATATAAACGCTCGTATATGGATTAGGATCCTCTAACATAAAGTTAGAGGGACGTGGTCACTAATGCGTGGATCCCATCGCTCATGGGGTCACGTGTCAGTGATCATGTTAGGTGAAAAATTACGTCAGAGAAACCGGCCTCTTCTACACGTTCACACGCCATACCTTTATAAACACTTCCGATTGGTTGATTATGGTTGCAGTTTTTTTAAACACGGTACAATCACAATGCTTGTATACATATCCGCGCGCAGCCTTGTGAACACGTCTCTAAGAGGTTGAGCTGATATGAGTTTTGATGAAATCATATGCTTTTATAATTAAATATACAAGCACCATCGTTAAGTTTATAACTTACACGTGAATATATTGTACTATAAGAAACCTAACCAACTGAAATATATAATCTTGTGATTGCACTTGATCGTTTGTGTTTCCAACAAAGATGAGTTTTATGTGTAAGGGTGTGCTTCCTTCAAGACATTATATGCTTTATTGAGGATTTGAGATTGTGTAGCACAACCCTCCATTTCAATTTGATCATCCCCTAAACAAATGACACTAAGACCAAGGAAAACAAAATATTTATTAATCTCAAATTAATCCTCATTGGTTAAGCTCATTGGTTAAGGTGATTCATCGCTTCGTATCATGTGAATTGCTCATGTTTTAAGTATCGTATGCCATTGCACTAATAGAAATTAATCTTGGTTGGTTGTATGCAACACATTAAATGATGCATATTTAATCTTTGCACAAATAAACAAAGAAACACTTGTTAGACGATAATCATTTTTAGGAAAACCTCAAAACCCTTAAGGGATGATCAAAATATGATGGAGGGAGTAGTGAACAGAGGAATACAACATTGTGCTTTATTTCTACGCAACCTCAAAAAAATTCTTACGGAAAAGGTTGTAGGTGCAAATATGCTTGTGTTTTAAATAAACTTTTACAATTATGTATGTACGGCACAATTATCTTGGGGTGATATGTATATGTAGGTGTCGTACCTATCTACATCAAAGCATCTATGGACTACGGTGACTTCACTAATCTTAAAATACTCCAAAATATAATAGATTATGGTTAGATGAGATATATACTAATACTACAAATATTGACAGGAAGCTGTTTAGATTTATAGTATTAAGATGACGGAGGAAGTATGTTGGTCGGTGTACATGTGTGTGTTTATAAAGACGCCTGTTTGTGGGTGCATGGTATGTTGTGTGTTTCCGAAAGAGAGTACTTGTAGGTATACAATATTGATATGTATCTCTTCATCCTCTCCCCATCGTCCTCGATGAAAATATCTATTTCATCGTGAGATGAGTCACAAAAAGTTCCATAAAAGGTGATTTTCAGAAGAGGATGACAGTATGACTTAAAAGACCTTGACTTAATCATTCGTTTCATCGAGAGAGAAGAATATTGAAACTAGAAAACTCATTACCAGATGATTAAATAAATATTAATTATTATAAACTTAAAAGTTAATATATTTAGTTTTTTAAAAGACAATTTTTATATATTATTTTACGAATAAATATACAGTATAGCAGTTTGAAACAGAAAATGAGAAAGTTAAAGCATTTAGGCTGCGTTCGGGAGGAGGGCACGTAAAACGAAATACGTATTATTGCATGAGTAATTAAGTTTTAGCTTTTTATAAAATAGGTTAATATGATTTTTAAAATAATTTTTATATAGATTTTTTTTAATAAAAAATACACGGTCTGGCAGTTTCAAAAACGAGAAAGCTGAGTTAGAAAACTGAGAAATAACACAGGCAGGCTTAACCCTGACGGAAGATGCCCCCGTTTGCACGAGGACAAACCAAGACCCGCTCCGGCTCCTCTCAATCCAGCCTCCCCCCCCTCCACCCACAAACGGCTATAACTAGTCGCTTCCAATTATCCCACCCTCTCGCCCTTCTCGCACCGAACCCAACCCCAACAACACTCTTCCGCTCCCACCCCCCGCACACTCCCCGTATTTCGGAACACGTCCCCGACGGCCCGACTGCCGCACGCGGCGAGGAGGCCGCGGTAATTACGGGCTTAGTCCGAGGGGGAGAACGCAAAAAGACCAGGAGAAGACGACCAGGGAGCGCACGCGCACCGCCTCCCCCCCACCTCGCCGCCGGCGAGGTCTCCCGCCGCCGCCTGCCATTGGGAGACGTGGGCTGGAGAGAGGCGGGAGCAGCGCGTCAGCCGTTTCCCGTTCCCCCCCGTCGAGAGGCTCCCCCCGTGATCCTCCTCCTCCTCGCTCGTCTTCTTCGCCGCCGCCGCCGCCGCCGCGGGGATGGAGGCCGGCGGGTACTACAACTGCAAGAAGACGGACGGCATCTGCGAGGACGTCTGCGACAGCGAGGTGAGCGGCCCGGCTCCCTCCTCCTCCTCCTTCCGCCATCAGATCTGTCGCTTTCACTCCCCGCGCCGCGTGTTTCTCTCTCTCTCGAACCCGTTCTTGACGGCGCCTTGCCTTGTTCTGCTATTTTTCTTTTTATCGCGTTTGGTTTGCTATGAGAAAAAAAGAAATTTGCTCCTCAATCTCAATCTCGATTAGTGGTGGCTTTAGCTTTCTCTCGGAGAGCTCAGGTTTTCGATTGATTTAGTCGCGAGGTTTGCTTGATTGCTTTCGAGGAATCGGGGGCATCTGCTCGAGATTGGGATTAGGTGGAGTTCGAGGCTTGGATGCATCTGGTGCCGGTAGAATCTCGCGAGCTGGCAGAATTGGCTGTCCAGCCTATAATTCTGGAGCTTTATTATTTTTCTTGGTAGAAAGTATCTGGAAATCATCTCTCTTTGTGGCAGTCCAGATTTGGATCATTCATGCCGTGGAAGAAAATAATTTTGCAAATAAATGATTAGATGATTCCCCACTTTTTCTTTGTTTGGTGGATCTGCATTAGCATGTTATTCATAGGGATGCTGTTTTTTTTTAATTAAAAAAATAATCCGACATGGTAATGAGTACTTTGCTCCAGCTATACTTTATTGTCTTAAAGTACGCGGTAACATTGTTAAACAAAATAAATTATCTTTTGGATGCTGCCGCGAAATTCACGGTGGATGCTGGAAAATCTTGTGCTTTATGCCGCGGTGATGCTATCTTAGGATATTGATTTTTTTTAACTTGCTTTCTCAATTCTGTGCCTTGAATCACTGGAAAGTGTTCATGTACTCCTGCGTACTAAGTTATGCTGTTTTATTGTCTTTCCATTGCTTAGTACCACTGCCACCCTGTCATCTCTGATAGGACTATATTCATAAGCATCTTTGCCAAAATCCTCAATTCTGCCATACACAACCTGCATCGTTTGTAACTGTCATCTCTGATAGGACTACATTCATAAGCATCTTTGCCAAAATCCTCAATTCTGCCATACAACCTGCATCTTTTGTAAGCTTTGCTGTGCTAGTGGTTGATAAACCAACGTCCTGGGTGTTGTAACCGTTGTTGTTGAAAATCTTTGTGGTTTTTATATATATTTCACTGGGGTTTCTATGGCTGTGGAAGGATATCGACATAGATTGCCTTTTTTTACTTTTAGCTCTATTCAGGTTTTGGCTCCAGTTGACGATCTGATTTCTCACTTTCTTCTGATTTCATTTGCAGCATGGTTCAAAGGCAGTTTTTAGTATGTCAAGGCTGAAGTGCGCACTTCGGGGGTTTGATTTAAGAGCACTTTTGATCCTCTTGATTGGTCTGCCAATTCTGATCTTTGTTATATACCTTCATGGCCAGAAAGTCACTTACTTCCTCAGACCAATCTGGGAAAAGCCCCCAAAGCCCTTCAAAGTACTTCCTCACTACTACAACGAAAATGTCTCAATGGCCAACTTATGCAAGTTACATGGATGGAAAGTCAGGGAAACGCCGCGGCGTGTTTTTGATGCTGTGCTTTTCAGCAACGAGCTTGATATTCTTGATATCCGTTGGCATGAGCTTAGCCCTTATGTGTCAGAGTTTGTGTTGCTTGAGTCCAACTCAACCTTCACTGGCCTTAAAAAGGATCTCCACTTCAAGGAAAACCGTCAACGTTTTGAATTTGCTGAATCACGGTTGACCTATGGTATGATAGGTGGTCGGTTTGTGAAGGGGGAGAACCCATTTGTCGAGGAGTCATATCAGAGGGTTGCTCTTGACCAGCTTATTAAAATTGCCGGGATCACAGATGATGACCTGTTGATCATGTCTGATGTTGATGAGATTCCAAGTGGGCATACGATCAACCTCTTGAGATGGTGTGATGACATACCTGAAGTACTCCATCTCCAGCTCAGGAACTATCTGTACTCATTTGAATTTTTCCTTGATGACAAAAGTTGGAGGGCTTCAATTCACAGATACCGGGCTGGAAAGACGAGGTATGCACATTTCCGGCAAACAGATGACCTTCTGGCTGATTCAGGATGGCACTGCAGCTTTTGTTTTCGCTACATTAGTGATTTTGTCTTCAAAATGCAAGCTTATAGCCATGTTGATCGGATTAGATTTAAGTACTTCCTGAACCCCAAAAGAATTCAGCATGTGATATGCCGAGGAGCCGATCTTTTCGACATGCTTCCTGAAGAATACACATTCCAAGAAATCATTGCCAAGCTGGGTCCAATCCCAAGCACATTTTCTGCCGTTCATCTTCCTGCTTATTTGCTAGAGAAAGTAGATCAGTACAGTTATCTTCTTCCAGGGCGATGCATGAGAGAGAGTGGCTAGGCACTTGCAGCTTGCATAACCTGATGCGCATGGGGATCGTGGATGATGCCCCTTTGGAGAACAACATGCGAGATATTGGTTGTACCTGATACAATTTGGCTGACTTAGTTGAGCGATCGCTTGGCGATTTGGGTGAGTTCATGATTTTGTACTGGTGTAGCCAAACATTGGAAGAAGGCCTGACAGCATAGCGCATGCTTGGGCGCTGCGTTCTTGTTTTTTTAGAGGAGCTCAGCAGTGTGTGTGCTTTTACCTCCTGAGTTTTACCCATTACTTCCATGGTTGATATATGAACTCAGAAACTCTTGTAGATTGTGAACTGGATGACATCCAGAATTTTTTTTTATCTTGTTCTGTACAGTATCATTTACTTACCAGACGAGTTACCCTGCATTGATTCTCCGGGCAATAATCATCCTCCTGTCATTTGATATATTTGCTGTACACTACAGAAAGCACATGTATAATGCAGTTGGTGTTTGGTCTCAGCTAACTGTTTGCAAACAACCAGAGCAAACAACCAGAGTCGTTGCAGGTTGGCAAGAAATGCAGTGTTTTCACTGCCTTTTATCATTTTATCCTCTTGGTAATGGTTAATGAGCTGCTTGGCTGGCAGGTTCAGTTGGGTAAACTATCACATTCTCTTATATATATATTTTTAGTTATTGTGAGGGTTCGTCTGTTCGTGCCGTTAAGCGACATGTTAAGGCGGCATTTTGTGGGACGAAGTGGGTTGGAACAGGCTGTTCTTGTCGGACGTCCGCTTCAGCCAGATTGACAAACATCATGTACAGGTTCATCTGCCTGACGAGCTCCAGCAAGTATTCCTTTTTAAAAAAAAATGAAATATTTTTTTATGGATTTTTATTCTGTTAAAATTATTTCAAATATTTTTTGAAAAAACATTGCAAGCTACGAATTCCGCAGGTTTACCTTTTGCTCTCATACACGTTGCATTGCGTTGAGGCGAGGTCTCTCATGGTCAGGTTCTTAGCTTATCTACCGTAACTAAAATTTAAATTTTTAACTTAATTTTGGAATTGATTTCAGAGTTTTTCATCGTAATCATTTTATAACATTATCCTTTTTTAAATATAGTACAAACGCATGTGTCTATAATGCGTACACACTTACTCCTATGAACACACATGCATGTTCTTCTCTTATGAGCATCTTCGGAAGACTGTGCCGCAATATCTTGAGAAACGAAGTCACCACTAGCACCTCGCACCTTTTAAACCACTAGTAACATGTAGATATAAAAGTCCTATTGATAAATTACTTTTAATTGTTTCATTCAATTTTTCTTCATTTTTCTATGGCTTACCCATAAATAATTCAAACATTAGAGCATAAAAGTGCAAAGCGCATCGCTGATAATTCTAAGTGGAAGACTTTCGCAGGGTCGACGATTGGCTGCCCGGAAAGTGGTCTGGGACCTCGAGTGAGCATCCATCCACGTCCAATTGAAAATCGTCGAGGCACACTAGGACGAAACAAACAAAACCCAAAAAGATTTCGTGGTTCCAAGAATCATGGCCGAGTAGATCCCCACTTCTAATGTAATGTCGCTATTAATCTTTGCGTCGCCCATGCCTCCACTTAAAGAGAAAGAAAATCTCAATTCTGATGGGTCAAGTAAAAGAATACCCTGAATCTGAAACGCATCTCTCTCTTCCTAAATAACTTTGGAATTTAGACATACGGAGTGACAGTTTTGTGGTCGTTTTCTTTCTGATAAAAAGATTAATCAATTTCTGCCTAGTTTCCAAGAAAAGATTTAAGGTTGTAAATATATCTTGTTGAAGACTGTGGGTGAGTCCCTTAGGCTTAGTTGTTGATAAAGCCTCATTGACTTGCTTTCAGGTCATGTACGGCAGTCACTGAAGGGCATATATGCTTTACATTTACATGTTCTCTTTTTACCAAACCGGCAAAAAAATGCAATAAGAATATTTTAATGTCCCGAGCCATATTTAAAATTTGCTGGTGTACACAAGCCCTGCCTAACAAAAAAAGATGCCCCAGTTCGTTCAAAAAAGATGCCACAGTTGAATACTAGTTTACCCTCTCTGATTGTTCTGAATTTCTGAATATTCACAGGCTCACTACATCCTACAGCCTACAGGCCATCATGCAGTTCAAAGAAATTTCAGAGTCCAAAGATTCCTCTTTAGCCATAGTCTAGGTTTTTAAAAGATGATATAAACTTTAATTAAACTCAGTTAATTACATCAAGATAATAAAACCGTGCTGAGAGAGGGGCATACCTTCATGTACTTATCCTATTGTACCGGAACTTATCCTATTGTACCGGACACTGGGTAAGATATCAATTTCTATCTATCCTATAATATATTAATTACAAACTTATACATGATAATTATATTATTATTAGTATTATTGGATCCTGATATACTTTTTCTGGATCACCACTAAAGAGCTCTTGTCCGGTTGTTCCTCCCAGTGTATGAGTATTGGGTACTCAGCACTCATACCTCACAATGGCTTTTAATTAGCTTTACAGAACTTGTGTAGCTTCTGTCTCTCTCTGGCTTCATCTATCTACAGAAGATTAACGGGTGAATTCGAAGCAACGGAACAAAGTACTCTCCAGCTCTGCGACAAATGGCATATCTGGATATGGCTCCGACTTTTCAAGCTCGTAGAGCCAGTCAAGAGCCATGTCCAAAATGTACAGATAAAGCCTTGAATACCATATTTGTCTTATCTTCTGACCTTAATTATTCTGGTTCAAGATCACCATTGTCAGAGATTCAGAGTTCTTGTTCAGAATTTCCACAGGGACTATACTAAAAGAAAAGAAAAGCTTGCTATAATAACTCATTTCTCTGATGACTTTTTTTTAGATAATGGAATAGAATATTCTGGCTTTGCTCAACGAGCTACAGCCAATTATTACAGCGTAACACTCAAAAATAAAAAGGTTCACACATAAAAAAGAGGACACCAACCGTGAAGAAAAAGCAAACTAAAAACTACCAACCAAAGATAAGGAGTATACAATTATTGAATTCTGTTTGTGAATCTTCATCCAAAATTAATAAACAGTTGCATAACCGTTATCTCAAGATTTCTCTATGACTATTCAGACAAACAACGTATACATGTCACTGGATCGTACGATGCAGAATGATGACAGAGAAGCAGACTTCAGGTACAGTATGACTAGTCCTACGACATCAGCATGACAGAAAATGCAGGCTTGTACTGTTGTCGGTTTGGCAGTACAACCGGAGAATTTTGACTAGATTTGGAAATTTGGAGGTTTATGATGGAGAATTTGGAGTTTGGACATGACACTGGGATTGCTTTCTGATACCCAGCAGCCAACGGCCATTGTGCCAAAATGCAAGAATTTGGAGTATCTCTCTTGTTGAACTTGTTGAAGCTATGCATGAGTAAGCCTCATTGACTTGCTTCCAAGTCATCTTTGGCGCTGGCAGGCATATGTTTACATATTCTACTCCTTTTCCAATTTGGCACAAAAAAAACTCTGCAGCAATAATCTCTTAATGTTCCATGATATATAATTTCCTGGACATAAGCACTGCCTAAGAGATGCCCTAGTTGAATTATACTAGTGCTAGTTACCTCTCTGATTATTCTGTATTTCTGAACATCCACCGATCCACAGGCTAACTATAAGCCTACAGGCCATCAAGCAGTTTCAAGGAAGTTCAGAGTCCACTATCTCTTCAGAAAAGTTCAGAAAGTTCAGAGTCCACAGATTTCTCTTGTGCTTTCCTCTTGTTGCTCCTTGTATTGTTGCTTTGGTAAGCTGTACGCACACAACTTATCTTTGTAGCTTGTGTTTCTCTCTGGCTTTATCTTTCTACATAAGATTAACGGCTGAGGTAGAAGCAACGGAACAAAATACTCTTCAAATCTGTGCGACAAATGGCATATATATCTGGATATGGCCTCCGACTTTTCAAGCTCGCAGTACAGGTCAAGAGCCAGAACCAAAACTGTATCTTTCTAGCTCAAGAAAACATCAGAGATGTTTAGATTTTTCACAACGAATGCACTGAAAATAGCATGATTGTTAAGAACTCATTCCTCTGATATATTCAGAGTTTCAGACAAACAACATGCGTTTTTTTAGCATTTATTAAGAACTCATGACAGCGAGACAGATTCATGTACAATATGGACCGATGGACGAAGGGAGTAGATTTCAGTGACATTAAGCCTTAAATACCGTATTTGTCTTATCTTCTTAGCTTAATTATTCTGGCTCAAGACAACAGCGGCATTATCAGAGATTCAGAGTTCATGTTCAGAATTTGCACTGGGACTGTGCTTAAAAAAAATGCTTGCTAAGAACTCATTTCTCTGATATATTCAGACGAAACAACGTATACATTTCATTCGAATTTCTCCCCTCCGTTCCAAAATAAACAAACTTAAAACGGAGTGTGACATCGTAATAGTATAAATCTAGACATTCTGTTCAGATCTATAATATTAAGATTGTATCACATTTTAATTTAGATTATTATTATTATTATTTTACTATCAAGAACGATGAGAGAGACGGAACAATATTACAGAAAATGCAGGGTTTTGTACTGCCGCCGGTTTTGGCAGTGCAACCGGGCCGGTAGACGGTATAGTATCTGCGAACGGCAGAAAATGACGCGCTTAATTAGATACTGCCCGTACGTGTTGATCGAGTCTGCACGTCCCAATGGCGATGCATCGACAGATGTTAAATTTTTTTATAAGTCGTCTTAGACAGCGGCGTTACCAAACGTCAAAAGGCTACGACTTGCCTGGTCCAAGTCAAGAACAGCAACGCAAGCTTGTTTTTTAATAGTTCTTCCGGGTTTCCTTCGAATGTACTAGTATGATTTTTTATTTTTATTTTGGTACTTCCTTCGTTTCACACTGTAAATTATTTTAGCATTTCCCACATTCATATTGATGTTAATAAATCTAGATAGATATATATATCTAGATTTATTAACATTAATATGAATGTGGAAAATAATAGAATGATTTACATTGTGAAACGGATGTAGTAATTCCTATCGGAGTGCGCTAGGGCTGGTAAGAAAAAAAAAACAACAATCATTTTCTAACTGTACCAAGACTAAAACGAATTTCATAATCGCAAAAACTTGTCCCGGCTTTGATACCACCGAATTTCATTGTTACGACATCAAACTAAGTAAACCATATCTTAGGTCACATCCACGTACGGAAATAGACAGATAAGTTGAATCCTATTGCAAAATGCGCTCTTAAATTATCCACATGGCTACGTCTAAGTACCCATCATTCAATGACGACGAAATCACGGTGACCCCAGCAACGGCTCAATACCTTTTTGCATCTAAATCATACTTCTTCCGTCCCAAAAATAAACCTATAATTAAAAGTGGTATATCCTAATATAATAAATCTGG